GCTGGTTTAGGAGTGCTGCGTTAACATCCAAGGGAGGAGGGGGAATGAATGTCTTTCACTTGGCAATCAGTAAGCCAGGGATTTTACCCACTGCTTGGCTTTGTTTGGGTTTAGACAAAGTTCCTCTGTTTTTGCTCAAGCTGCAGTAATCCTTCAGCCCTTGATGTCGTGCATTCTGGGTTTTCTATATCTTTATGATAATCTTTGAACCCTCAACCCACATCATAGGTTATGAATATTCTTGTTTTGGATAAGAGAGGCAAGCAATCATTTTAAACTGCAGAAACCATACCCCTAACATTTCCCCGTGTGTCAAAGACATGCAGCAGCATCAGGGAGAAGAAGCAGTGGAAAGACCAGTTTGGAAAGGTGGTTTGGGCTGACAAAAAGCAGAATGGGGAAGGATCACTGAAAAAGATTACTTCTAAGGGTCAGAAATTCACTATTCTTGAAGGGTGGGTGATTCAAGCTCTTCAGGGCCACACCTGATTCAGGGTGTGAGAGTGGTCAGGATGTTGCTGAAGAGGAGCAAAGGCCAGAAATTGGAGCTGACAAATGTAGGAAACCATAATGTTACAGGCTATCAGCTCAGGTTCTTTTTTCCAAGTGAAAATGCATTGAAATTCAGAAATACTAGAAAGTAATTATTTTCTTCATCTTCTTGGCAGATGACTGACAGAGTTTGTTATTCATGTCCTCCTCACTCAGTGACTCTTCCGCCAGGCTGTTTTCTTTTTCATCTTAGCCTTCATGGTTTAGCTTTGAAAAACGATGGCTCTAACAGACAGTAAGTGTCTTCCCCATGGAACTGTACTTTAAATCCTTGGGATTAGGATAACTAATTTCTCGTAGTTTCTCTATGATATAGTTTAGTGCAAGAACAGAGGCTTTTGTTTGAGGTACCTATTAAGAGAATATTGCCAAAAGTCATGAGATGACTGCAAATTAAGGTGAGAAATACTCTTTCTCCAAAGATCAAAGAACCGCCAGAGAAAAACCTCTGTGTTTGTGGATTCAGCACAAAAATTGGCTCCCCAGTCAGACAGCTCCACATACAGCTTCCAGTGTACATATAGCCCTGGTTTGCAGTTATTGCTGCAAACGGGAACTGGAAAACAAGCTCAGTGCCTTCCTGATTAATTTACCAGTGGAGGAGGTTGTTTTCCACCAGGCAAGTTCATTTGTCAAGGTGACCTTCGCAGCCAGCACTGAGCGTTACTGCAGATAAAGAATGCCGCCTCAGCATATTTGTGAAACCCAGCTCAGCAGCGGGCCGCAGGCCTCCTGCAAGGCACAGGGGGGTTGCAAAACAAACCCCTTCCTACAGGCACTATGAGGAGAGGTTCTCCATTCCACAGTTCTCCTGTGTCGGCACTGGACATTTTGCAATCCTTCTTTTGTCATGCTCTGTAAACCCTCTTCCCTGCCTGACTGGTTTTATGTCTAAGTGGTCTTGAGGTTAAGTAGCTGCTTTTGAAAAATCCCTATTCTGTAAATTAATGGTCTCCTAGGCAGAGCTAAGACCACAATTAAATCTTAATCAATCATGGATGTAGGTAGGAAATTTCACAGATGCCCTGCCAAAACCCAGGCAGAAGAAACAGAGCTTCAGGGATCTTCTAAGAGAAGGTTTAATCTTTCATGTCATTGGAGGAGCTGATGTCAAGTCCATACTGCTCAGCCACAAACAACTATTTTCTTCCTATCTACATTGTTGTTTTCAAATACATCACTTATTAAGTTTTAGGGTATTGTATTTTTCTACCATGAAAACCAAGCCAAATTTGGTGCATGTGTGCTATAGGTATCCCAGTGTTAATGTAAAATCCAGCTTGGAGAAGGGCATCCAAGTTTTGTTCACTAACAGCTGGAATAGATCAATATATAGAGTCCCTGGAAATAGCAGTTATATTTCAGAAGAAACCACCATATGATTATGATCATGCCAATTTAATTTCTGTGGAATAATTAATCCAACGATAATTCTTCCAGTTCCTGTCTTGTAGTTTTATTTTCATGCTTGCCATATGACATCAGTTGGACAAGTCCTCAAAGCTATTCCCCAGCAGCAGTGACCTATTAAAACAGGCAACTGTATTTAAAAGTGGGAGCAAAACAAAACAAAAAAAAGGGATGTCTCTTTTTCAGGGAAAAAAAACATAAAAGTTTGGGTTCATCAGAAAAATCAACAGAGCAATTTTTTGATCCAAGAAAAAAAATACGCAAAAAGTCAGAAAAAGCTGAAACATTTCATTGCAACATCTTCTAAATGAACTGGTTTGTTTCTAATTTATGTGGATGTAATTTTCAAGAGAAAAGTAAACCAAATCTCTGACATCAAACTGTTTATTGTTCTGCACTTCTATAGGAGAAGAAAATGGCTTTGTTTCAGATTAAATGAAGATTTTGTTCAAATACTTGTTTGGCCAAAGCCCTGAAAAATCAGTAACTTACACAGCTAATTATTTATGACCAGTTCTTACATCCAGATGCTGTGAAAACCTTAAACATCTGTCTTATTGTAAGGAATCTATGTATTTCTGTAGTCATAAAATGGAGTCAACAGCAGGACTATCTTATGTCTCAGCATTTAACTTTAGAAAAAACATAGCATGAAAACGTGTCAGTATCTATCAGTTGTATGATGTTCAGTATATTTGCTGAAATATTTCATCATTATGTGCCATATGTGGAATTCAGAGCTACTTTCGTACAAAACATGAAACAGAATACTCAAATATGAATAAAGATGCCAGTGCAGGCAGAGCTATGTGTCATGCAAACCTTTGCTGGCTTCTATAGGACACCTGTGTATACGAGTTCACCGCTGTTCATTTTTCATAGGACAGCTGTGATTAGGGCTCACAGTTATGCTGGTGAGGGCAAAAAATATGTTTAAATGCATGTGCATATTTTATGGCAAGACTTTTAACTGAAAGGTTTGTTTAAAATGTAGGAAAAAAAATATTTCGGAGGTAAAATATGTTAAGCGCAAGGACACTTCAGACAGAAGGTCACAGTTCCTTTAATTTTAAGTGTACCTGATGCCCAGTGAGCACCTATCCACTTCCAGCATTTAACAGTTCTTTGGTGAGTCCCTCACTGTCTCGTCCTTGTATGGACAGAAGCGGGGACACCTCATCCATAAGTGAGCTGAATTGCTCTTTGGAGGTATAATCAGGAGTCCATGGTAATCAGGGTCATAACGCACACATTCCAGTTCAGCATCTCATGTTAGACAAAAGGATTGAGTTCTTACTGAAACACAGGGAGTGTTTTAATTGCTGACAGCAGCTAGAGGGAAGATACGCTTATTGTGAACTGCTGCAAGTAAGCTGACCTCCGTTTCCTCCCCTCCCTCCCTGACAGTGTTTTTCTATACCTTACAGGCAGCAAGCTGCAAGGGACTTGGGTTGCAAATGGGAACCTACCTTCACATTTCCCAAATGCGACAAAATCTCACCTTAATTCCCAGGAAAAGCTAAGTCACTGTTACCGAAACTTGTTTTAAGTAACAATTCTGGGAAAAGGTGATCCTAAAACTATATTTATCTGTTCAGATAAATCCTAGGATTAGGTAAAAAATTACTTTAATTTCTTCATACGACAGCCACTCAAGGAGAGTAATGGTGGCAGCAGAGTATTGCTTAAATAAAAAGAGGGAGAGGACATCCTTGAAGGAAGTAGGGAGGGTAGTCTCATGACTATTCAGCCTAGAGGTTGCCTCTGAATAACTGTAGGAAGCATCACTGTAGAAGTATTTAGATGTTATGGACTATTGTCACTATATCATTTCAGGCAAAGCAGCAGTAGCTGCTCAACAGTTTCTGGTCAGCACCACCATCAGCCAGATTTTTAGAATGAACAGCCCTGCAGTCCACTGCTAAATTCCTGAGCCACACTCTTCCCTGCAGTTCACCCTTTAAAGGGTGACCTACCAGTCCCTGAACAGCCCCACAGACAGTGGTAAATGTCCAGCAGATTTCAACATTTTCAAGGATTTATGTCACCTGAAAAGTTTCCCAGAAGAAATAGTAAGGTGATAGTAAGTCCAGTTTGAAACATAAAGCAAAGTTAACTTCCAGATGAACTGTAAAGCCAAACCGCTTCTGGTTTTGCTCTTTTCTGTCCCCTTAGGAAATCTGTGTCTGATTCAGGAAGTCCTTTTCCTTCTCTTTTCTTTTTTTCAGTTTTGGTTTTTTGGGGTTGTTTTTTTTTTCTTTCTCTGATTAAATAACAGGCTTTCTTTTCTCTTTATTCTGCTGAAGGGCTTTATCCATGTCTTTGGAGGAAGTGAAGTATATCAAAAAGCTTATAGCTGGAAAGTCAGTTTTTCCTCATGTATTTCAAGCTAGAGGAATGATGACAGGAATGCTGTTAATTGGAAACCAGTTTAAGCATTTCGATGGATAAACAAAAGTTTGTGGGGGGAATAAAGTTTGACCATATCATACCTTTTCCATACTTAAAAGTTATTTCTTAGGCTCATTTGATGACACTAACAGACTGTGGTAGGGAATATCTTGCACACACTCGTCCCCTAGCTGCAGCTCAAAATCATCCCCAAATTTCAAAACTTTATTTATCTTGTGGCCAAAACCCAGTTCTGAGCCACTGTTCATATGAAAGTTGGTGCATGCTTTCTTCAGCATTTGTCTAGGCCTCCCACTGATCATCCCACTGTAGGAAAAACAAGAAAGGCTTCCCCATAAATATTTGATTTCATAACAGCTGTACTCTGGCTCTCTTCTGTTTTCTCGCTGGCATTATGCTCTATGCTTCTGCTCTGGGTGGAGCAGCCATCTCTATGGAGAGAGAGCTCCTCATTAATTTGCATCTGGTCATTTATGATTTTTTTGTTCTATGCTAATGATAGTGTCTCATATCCCTTTAGCAGAAAACACATAAATTGGCTCTGTCTTTTTCTGAGCCACCCCACAGGGACCCTCCTGAGTTACAGTGCAGCCTAGTGCTGATTACTTTTTTATTTCTCCTCTTAGGAAAAGGATAAAAGGTTTAAGTTCTGACATAAACAGGAAAACACACTAAGAGGATTTATCCTGAAGGCATCTACTCTTTAAATAGTGATGGAGCAGTGTCAGTTCATTTCCCACAAGGGCCAGAAGCTCCACCGCTCTTTGTTCCCTCAGCCCTTGTATGACTAGAGGCAGAATATCCTATCACAGGCTGTCAGATAGCTCCCAGAATATGCAACTTGGTAATCATAGGCTGAGGAGGGACTAACTGCCACTAAGAGCATGAAGAAGTTGGGTTTCAGAAGGACTCTGCTCTTTAAAGGATAACACCCAGGCTTTATCCTGATCTGAGGTAAGACTTGCAGAATTTACTAAATCTGTGACTTCTCAGCATTCCAGACCCTGTTCCCTCCCTCTTGTTTTCTGAAACAAGGAGAGACAGGAGAGGGAGCAAGCTGTCAGAGTTATCACTTGTGGAATTTTCCAGCTTTACCAGGCAGGAAAGGGGGGAGCAAAAAAAAATAAATATCCACTGTAGAAAAACAACTGGACACCGTGCAAGTGAAAGCAACTGAAGGATGGTAATATGCATGCTTTATATTGACTCAAGCTGTATGAAAATACAGATCAAGAATCTATTAACATGAACCTGTTTAAGGTTTTCTTATCAAGGTGTGCTTCTGAGGTGTACTCAGTTATAAAACAATTTTTCCTCACAATTTATTCTGTTTAAAAAATGTGTTCTGCTGGAATAATGTTCCAGAGGGGACAGAATCTTCAAGTTGGATCAATCACAGTTTTTCACACATTTTTGCTTTCATTTGATTTGGGGTCAGAAATTAGCCTTTTTCAACTTTTGCCTTTTGATGTCATGTATTTATGTGCATTTCAGCTCAGTGTCATGATCAGACTCTAACTTGCACAAGTAGAGATTTATACAAACCTAGCTGTAAGGAAAGAAGAAACTTATATCATTCCGTGGGAGGAAAGTAGATCTGACAATGCTTCTACATTCACAAGTATGTCATCCAAACCTATACTTTTCAAATTGGACTCAAATCTGGCTTGGTTTTGTACTCTTGGCAGGCAGGGATTTGCACGTAGTGCAGGCTCTTTCTAATGTCTGCTTTCAGTTTGAAGGTGCATATGTCTGATAACCACACAGGTAAAAATCCAAGGCAGCAGGGGACTGGTGGTGATGAGCAGCTAAAATTGTTTACCTAGTAGTGAAAACTGGAGAAATTCAAAACATCTGGAAACTAGGACTTATCCACATTGTTCTGAGGAAACTGGAAGCTTGTTTATGTAGTCTAAATAAATGCAAACAATAGAGACCATCAATCCAGCACTCACGGACAGGCTCTCTTGTCCCTCACAGAGGAATTCCAGGGGATTCTCTGCCACTGGCAGGCTGGCGCGACGCTCACAGCTCTGCATCTCCAGAGAAAACATCAGGAGTGTCTGAGGAGTATCTTTTAGCAGTTCTTGCGCCATGGCAGTTTGCATACACTGAAATCGCCAGCACATCCTTTCCGGTTCCAAAGTCCCCTGCAGCAAAATACCATGGTCTAGGGTCATGACCGTCAGCAGAAATAATACTCCTTGCCTTCGGAAAAACTTCAAGGATTTCTTCCCCAGTTATTCCCTCTGTAGGGGCAGCATGAGGCCTATACTGGGAATCAAAGGGTCATCTGAAATGGTATCAGATGCTGCAGAGCAGCACAATATCATAATCATAGTCCAATATGATGAGTACATAATAGATTTTAATTGACTTTGGTGAGGATAAAAGAGCAAGTACTTTTGTTTTCCCTTGTCAAACACAAAGTCTTACTGAAAGGAAATCCAGGCAACTAATATCCCTGGAGATCTGACTTTTGCTACCTAGATTCTTAATTGATTTGTTTAGAAAAGACAATCAGATCAGGAGGATTATTGCAAAATTTCTACTGGACAGTTATACTCCTAGCACTAATAGAGTTTCTACAGCAAACACTGTGTCATTACAAGTCCCAGCAGTGCTCTGTAAGGATGGGGGATAGGGCTTTTTGTGTTTTGTGACTTGTTTTTCATATGAATGGAAGAATTCTGAGGGATCTCCCATTTCTGGATTTGCTTTTGTTTGTTCTCAGTCAAGGTGATCCCATCCATACAATGAAAAGACAGCTCACTTGGGTGTTAGGACTTTTTCAGGCAAGGCAATTACAAAGTGATTCTTAATTTGGAAAGTCTCTGTGAAACACAGATTTCTAGATAGCTAGAAAATCTCCACTACTGATGCTGTTTTAAGATAATGACTAAGTTGTGCTGAAAATAAACCTTGTAGATCTAAGCAATATCATATTTTCTTCAATTCTTTCAATTACTTTTTATTAGAAAGTCTTTTCAAATGTATTATTTTGGAAAACTTTAGGCAGCGAGTTGCAAGCAAGTGATTGTAATGATATAGCAGCCTCTTAATTTGACAGATCTTTCTCCCACCCAAATGATTCCAACTACTTTGAATAAAATCTGTTCCAATTTTATGTTGAAATACACTTCCATTAAGCAACCAATTAATGTTGGTCCCCTGGTTCATGCCATACAAAACATTCCATTTTATGTGTTATCTAGACTTTTTCACAAATGTTTTTATGAGGTTACTAAAATATTCCCTGCCTTTGTTCCCATCTATGCTGTGTATTCTTACATATATTTCAATATGAGTATGAATCTGTATATAAGTATAGTAATCTTCCCCTTAGGATATTCTGTATGTATGTCATAAAGGAAAAGGAGATTAACAGTACAATACAACACAAACAGGCTGACTTTATAGCAGTCTTGCAGAAACTCCTGCCAAGGAAAAGAATAAATAACAGCTATGTTAATCAAAGCCAAATTTAAGAGATAAGTCTTCAATTTAGGTGGTCAAAATCCCAGAAAACTGGACAAGCTTAATGCTCACAGAAAAAGAACAACTCTGAGGACAAAGACTGTAATGGTGTACAGTTAAGTTGAAGGCAAATTTTCAAAAGTGGTTCTGTAACGTAAAAGCCTAAGTCAAAACTGACTTCGCGTGCAGAATCATTTACTCTCCCTGTAAGTCCGTAGGGTTTGTGCTCCTGAATCCCTCAATCTGCTCTGAAAATGGGAGTTAGGTGACTTCTGACCTTAGTCCCTTTTGAGAGCATAATCTATAGTTGCCTGAAAGTCCAGAAAAGGTACTGGTCCAAGCAGTGGCTGAATACCAACCAAGGACACTAAAACCAAAGAACTAGAGGCACAAGCATGATTATTCCCCTGCTATAATGGAAAGCCATATGCCATCTCTGTTTTGTATTAAACTCGTGAAGATGTCTTAGCCTGTTCAAGATCCTGTGGAAGCATTTTGAATTAATCACAACTGACATAAATATAGCCCTTGACTGGAAAACTTCCAGACTGAGAGAGCTGCAACAGTTCAGCCAAGATGCATTATATCAAAAGCACGGATAAGTAATTTGGTGTCCTCGTGGGAAGGATAGCATTACAGCTTCACAACATTCATAAAGTGCCTGCACAGTGAAAGATCTAACACGATCATTAAAAGATGTATGAATGTCTGGTGAATCTTCACCCCCCATCAAGGATCATGGCTTTTATCTAGGCAGGAGCAGGAAGAAGAGCATGTATTCACGATGACAGAGAGCACAACAGCTTAGTCATACTCATTTGATGTGAGCATATGGACTTTCAAACATGATTTACTATGTTTGCATAGCAATATTAATTACTTTCTAGAGGGTATCCAGCCAAGAATATGTACAGGGTTGGCAAAGCTCAGTTAGAAACTTCAGCCAACCTCTGCAGGACTTACAGAAGATTAGCAGTTCAATTACTTATGGTGTACCATAGCTTTAAGTCACAAACTAACTCTTGTATATTTAACCCTCTTCAGTGGCAAAACGTAGAATCATAGAATAGTTAGGGTTGGAAAGGACCTTCAGATCATCTAGTTCCAACCCCCCTGCCGTCGGCAGGGACACCTTACACTAAATCATATCACCCAAGACCTTGTCCAACCTGGTCTTGAACACTGCTAGGGATGGAGCATTCACAACCTCCCTGGGCAACCTATTCCAGTGCCTCACCACCCTAACAGGAAAGAATTTCCTTCTTATATCCAACCTAAACTTCCCCTGTTTAAGTTTTAACCCGCTACCCCTTGTCCTGTCACTACAGTCTCTAATGAAGAGTCCCTCTCCAGCATCCCTATAGGCCCCCTTCAGATGCTGGAAGGCTGCTATGAGGTCTCCACACAGCCTTCTCTTCTCCAGGCTGAACAGCCCCAACTTCCTGAGCCTGTCTTCATACGGGAGGTGCTCCAGTCCCCTGATCATCCTTGTGGCCCTTCTCTGGACTTCTGTGTGATTTTAGAGATGTCACTTTACCTTCCTCTGTAACTCTTATTTGATGTCTCTGTAGTCCTGTTATGATGAATTAGCTCTTGCCCATATAGTTAATTAAATGCTACAGGGAGTGGTTGGGGTGTTTTAGTAGTTACCAAATTCTTGGTTCTGCTGTTATTATCCACCACATGATGATATGATATCTGGGTTTAGACTCCCAGCTGTGACTGAGGAGAACTCAACACAGCTTAAAGAGGCAATTCTCCAAAGTCCTCTTTCCATTGTCCCAACAAGACCTGGTGCAAATCCAGTTCTTAAAACAAGCCAAAGCAAACCAGTAAATGTCAAAATAGCCAAGAGTAATCCCTTCCTGTAATACATAACGTCTACAAAAAGGTGTTGTTGAACTCTCTAACATGGTTCTGGGCCATCTAAAGTTTCTACTTCCAGGGAGAAAGTGAATGGGCATTTTGTACCTATGTTTAGATGCTATGTTAAGAAGCTGAGATATCATCCCCCTATGTCTTCTGAGTCTTGAAGACTTCTTTCCGACAAGGGCTCATTTTCCTCAGAGGTTTTCAAGAGCTACATCCTACTCCTCTGACATCAATATTAAGACATTTAAATTTCCAAACCCTATGCAAAAGAGTCATTTGGCTGGCTTCAGCAGGGCTGCTTGTAGGATTCTGAATTTCTCACATCACTGAAGGACTCTAAACAAAGGCACTGTGTTTTATAAATATTAGTGGTCTCTGTAGCTCTAAGAGCTTCAGGAGCTGCAGTATATTTGAAAAGCTAGCTTTGAAATACTTGGCAAGCTGCTGCTTTCCTCAGAGTGCTCATAGATGAGTATTTCAGATAAACCTCAAAAATACTGTAAGTGGAAGAAATAAAAGTAGTTGAAGGAAAGCAGAAAGCTGCTGTACATCATGTAGTAGCATTCCCATTTAAGAGGTGATTTTTCTCATTCTGTTATTTGCCT